ACAGTTTTCCCACGATGCTAAGAAGGCTGATGCCACGGTAGATTTTACAGTCCTGCTGCGACCCTTTTCCTTTATATACTGGGACTATCACGGCTTTGCACCAGTCTGCCGGTACCCGCTTCAGTTCCCAGCATAAATTAAACAAGGTGTGCAGCAGGCCTGCCACAACTTCCTCTCCAGCCCTTAGCATCTCGAGTGAAACTCTATCATATCCGGCAGCCTTACCTGCTTTCATGCTTTTCATTGCTTTCATTATTTCATCTATACTTATCTCGCTACCTCTTACCTCTTCTTTCGGAGTTTCTACTTCACTTAGTACACAAAATATTCCTTCCATCTCTTTAAACTCAAAACTTCATCATTCAGAATATAGCCATTCTCGTCTCTTATAGCATTCATCATAGGCTGTTTTGAATGTCCCCTGGCAGTTCTTACAAGTTTCCAGAACATTTTAATATTTGACTGGAAGTTATCCGATATTCTTCTATCATTCTTATCCGTTCTTTCTTGCTTTTTTCTTTCAACTACTTCTTTTACTCTCTTATTAAGATGTCTAAAGACTGCCTTTTTTCTTTCAATATCATCATTCGTACCGCTAGAATTACCAGCCTTTGTTGCTAGTAAATCTAGCCATGCTCTCTTCTTTGCTTCAACTTCCATACGTATCTCATCATCCCACCATAACGTATTATTTTTCCTTTCATTCTTTCTCTTACTAACACCACATACTTCGGTAGCTGCTTCCACTAAACCTTTCTTTACGTTTTGCCATACATTCTCCAAGTCTAACTCCTTCATACATAATTCATACAAACCACTTATATTTTCTTTCAGTCTACATTTGAACTTGTTTTTCTCACCTTCATCTTGTAACCTTTCTGTTCTAATACGCTGTAACGTAACCAGTGGTAGACACAGATGTTCGATGGCGCCAGCGCCTGAATAGACCATTAATTCGGCATAAAACCAAATAATGATCCGTTCCTACATTAGAACCCCGGTAAATCCCTGTATCTACCACTGCGACCCTCAATCTTTCATCCACAATTATGAAATCTATCATGCTTCTATCGTCACCTCTTTCCCAAGTATACATGTGAATCCTCTTGTGGCGAAAGCAAGTGTTCGTCACAAAAAGATTCTTTTCCATACATACGGTGAGGAGACTTTCACCATTCTCATTTATACTTTCATCACCAAACGTTCCCAATATCCTTTCATAACCAAGCCTCCTCACCCCAACCCTTCCATTAAAATCTCCTAGCATAATAATATTTTCATTTCCCTTACGCTTCATTAACACCATCCTTACCATTTCCCAAAACTGCTCTCGGATATAAGTGGGCTTAGACATGTCTGGAGCGTAGACCTCTAACACAACCAACAACTTCTTTAAGCCCACTTTCATTCGTATCCATGGCAGTCTTGGGCTTACACATTCATACTCTTTCACACATTGGCCCATTCTTTCTGAAAGGATGATACCTATTCCCTGGCATGCCCGCTCGATCTCGTCTACACCAGACCAGTATGCGGTATACATGCCATGTGTAGTGACATCCTTCCCCTTCCTTTTCGTCTCATTTACACATAACACATCTATTCCTCTATCATACATCATATCGCATACTTCATCCATTTTATCATTCATTGCCCCACATACATACATAATTGTAGGAATCTGAGCAATTTAGGTTCAATATAAAATAAATTAATAATTTATTTTCAATTATATTAATACGTGCTCATTTTCTATCATCGTTCAATTTTACACTCATGGTGGAAAAAAATTCTTTCCGTAAAACTTACTTGTTCTTACAATCACAGCTTATATAAAAAGCGTGACAGTCGCATTAGGATACAAAAATATAGTATTTTTCGTACTATATTATTTTTCTATAATACGAGATATAGTACACTTGTCTGAAATATAGTACGATAGTATATATTACAGTACGGGTGGCAACCCTATAAACATAAATCCAATATCCCAATAGACGGTTAGCCTTTAAGGATAGTCCCACTCCCACAACATAAACGTGGGCCCTTTAAGTCCTCCACTCACACATTTACTTATTTTAGACTAGCAAATCGCCCCGAATTCACTAGGGTAGTATTTATTAATGCGGCGTTAGAATAATTACCCAAGACTATTTGTTTCATCAATTTTTTGAATTTTTAAAAAATACTCCAATTTTTTCCGATAAAATATAGTCTAGTCACTCTTGGCATTGCTCGGTTCAGCCATTCCGAAGTTTAGCTCGGCCAGACAGACAGACAGACGAAAATTTAAAAAAATTGCTATTCAATGTAATGGCTTCTTTACATAATATAATGACTTACAAATAACCCCCTCAACTCAATGCAACTCACGATTACAGACAGAAACTCCAATTTTGTTTATATGTATTTATAGATAGATTATTTGCAGTATAAAGCGGGCTACATACGACACGATATCGGTGGCGATCTAGGGTGGAAAGAAATCGGGGCTTTTATCGGGGTAGACCTTACACACGGGCCTGCCTAGCAGTACGCGTTCGGACTTGGAGCGGAACGCATATGCGGTAGAGTTCTTCAAAATACCTCCGACTCTCTTAAAACACCACCGTGTTGGTTTGGCATTAGCCATCTCGGTTAATTTATTCGAAAATAGAAAAAGAGAAGTTGCTGGGTGAAAAAATGGCTCCAAAAAGAGATAAAAATTAAACCACATAAACGTACTAAATGGCCTGTAATCCAAGGACGTGATTAATTTTCTCCGGATGGATGAAGACAGTTTTTATAACCTTCTAGAAATGATTTCGCCACTTATATAAAAACGTCAATTTTTCCTACCTATGCTATTTAGTTATTTCTTCTCTTTGTTCATTTCTGCTTTGGTCAAAATCTGGTTATGTATTACACACAACAAACAAGGAAATAAAATACGTTTTGTATAATAATATGTATACTTTTTTTTAATGTAATCTTTATTTATGGAGTAAAACTATAAGAAAATAAAATAGCTTATATCTTTTTTTAAACATAAAGAAACCTTTAATTTCGGACATACTCCCTTTTATATAACTTGTTTGTTGATGTGAAGATGGTGAAGGAGTAGAAGTTAGTTGTTGATAAGAGGATGAAGGCACGTAAGAGATCGAAGTGTGGTCTTGTGGAGTTGTAAGAGATATGAGTGCGGTCTTGTGTTGATAGCGTTGGAATAGTAGTTAGTTGTTGAGGAGAGGCTTTATCTTCTCCTTACTTACATCATACACTCTACTTTACGAACGGCAATAAAAAAATTAGTTTAGTAGGCATTCTTGACCATGTCACTTCGCCGGGTCACAGGCTAGGGTGGATATGATTTGAATTTCGATAAAATTTCAATTAATTTATTTATTTTATTCACTTTTTTTTTGTTTGTTGTAAAATATCAGTGCCATAAGCTTCTACTCCGTTTATATGATTAAAATGTAAAAATTTTGTTATATAAAAAGGTCATTCAGTATTGTTAACTTCTTTCCGCGAGGTTTGCCGGCAGCGACTGCCAAAAGAAATCGGGCCGATGCGCCTACACACACGCAGTAAGGAGGGGGCGGTGCCCCGATCTAGGAAGCATCGGCTGATCTAGGAAGCATTTTTGCTCTTGCCAGCCGATTAAGGAGGCGATATCGGCCACGACTTAGGATGGCCTTACATACGACACGATTTAGAGGCAATCTAGGAGGCAACCCCACTACTCCACCCTAGATCGCCACCGATATCGTGTCGTATGTAGCCCGCTTAAGAGTGCTTAAACTTAACTGAATAAAAATAATAATTTACAAACATAAGACGGAGACTAAATCCAAGATTATTGCGTATTATTATTACATAAATACCCACGGTAAACACCACAATTTTTTTAAATGTTTTCTTTAACAACTTTAATTGTGTGACAAACATTAAAAACTATATTATTTAGTAATGCACTTTCTTATTCTTCTTTTAAAGAGCACGCCTGTGCGCATTCGATAACAGGTAATGTTATAATATAAAACCAGTTGACTAAACAATATACGTAAGCAGGTGTGTGCTTAAATCGCGTGTTGTCGGAACAGGTCCGCTTATTATAGTCTTGTTCAGCTGAAATTACCACAGTTTGTCCCTAAGGCTTTTTGGAGCTTTCTGTGAAACGTTTTAATTAACATGTAACTAGTTGCAACGCGTAAAGCTTGCAAACAGCGGCTTACATAACCTTTCCCACTGTGAACGCAACGCAAATTATATTTAGGTTCTCTTAGAGTTGTTGTGAACATATAAAATAGTGAGTGCTTATGTTTTTTTATGTAATATATATATATATATATATATTACATAAAAACATAAGCACTCACTATTTTAAAGAACTTCAAATTAGACTGCTATTTATAATAACAACATTACTTATAAACGTTAATTAGAACTTACTTGAGTAATAACTTTCTCTAGTCTCTTTCTGCTGTTATTTAGTGTAGAGAGAAATCATAAGTTTAAGCTGTAAGGCTGAACATCTCTAAACTCTATTTATAATGGCTTAAGACTAGAAGCTCAGCGCTGCTACAAGGTACGGTACTAAGGTAATTAACTTAATGAAATCTTAACAAGAGCGATAGTTTCAACACTCCTAAATTAAATAAAAGATGACGTTAAAGTTTGACAGCTTAAATTTTACAAGAAGCAGCATACATAACATTGATATTGTTAATAACAATTTTTCAAAGATATTTTGTGAGCGCACAGTTCATTTTTCTCACTAGTAATGCTGATATTCAAAAGCGAACTATGGTTGAGTATATTTTCTGTTATCACTAGGTTTTTTTTTAGGTTGGTTTAATTATCTGTCAATCAGTAGGGTGTAACAGATTTGGATGAGATAGGCACTAGAAAAATTGGCATATTATATCCTTACGTCTCATTCAAACCAATAAAAATTAAGTTTAACAACCATATTGTAACTATTCGATTTATTTCTAAATAACAAATATGTGTTCTAGACGCAATCCAGCCGGCCCGACGGACAACCACGAGCGCAACGAGCAACTGACTCTGCAGTGGGCTAAAACCTCAATGAACGAGCTGCGTATCGAAATGAAGGAGATCTCGAATAGCATCAACAATTCGGCCCTGTTGCGGCAGTTACACGTCATTCGTAATGAAGTAAGTACGGGCTAAAGCTGTCATGGTACTGTGAACACGGGCCTGATTTAAGGTTTTTTATTGTTGTCTCTCATAATGGTATGTTTGCAAATGACTGCAAATATCGACGAGTAAGAATTTTGTTGTTATATTTGAAGAACTGATACTTTTAATATAATATTCCATTTCACTATGTATATGCCGACAGTTGAACACAGATTTTTTTATAGGATAGGGTGACAACCGAGCACACAGTCCACCTGATGTTAAGTGGTTGCTGCGACCCATAGGCATGTAGCCTCGATTACAAAACAAAATGCAGATGCCTTTTCACCCGTGAAGACTAAGATGGAATGCCTCCTTTCCAGTAAAAAGGGTCTCCGGTTCTCTACATTCACCATACGAAATACCGGTTCTGTGAGAGCGTGATCCTTTCCCGGTTGAGCCGAACCATTCGTGCTACAACTATACTACTAATTGTGAATGTGAAATTTTCTATAATTTTTTATGTTTATTCAAACTAGTTATTTTTGTGACCTACATCTTTAGTCGATGGCTTTGGCCGAGAACATTTATTTTTCGCCGAAAAAAATGCTTGCAAAATCAGCCGCGCGGTTGTACGGTTTCTAGTTGGAAACTCAACATTTATTTTTATTTATATACACGCGACACAAACGCTAGTGACATGCTCTTAGATTTGAGGGCATGTCAACCGATGCATAATATGCTACATACCCACTGTTTACGGCCGCCGTAGTTAAATTGTCATGTATACAATTTATTCTGCATTGCTTATTTATCGGTTAGGTACTTTAATCTTATTTTTAAATTTGATATATTTGCAAAGCTTATCTTTCCTATTACCTTTTTTCAAAAACCTCTTCTTTTTAAGAACTTGTTAGTAGTAGGTAGTAGTAAGTAGATTGGTTTATTATTGGTTCAACATGTAGTTCTTGCTAAATTTTGATATCAAGTAATCATTATTGTCTCTATTTTCCATTTTAAATTAAAAGCTTTATTTCCCTTTGGTATCCACTGGTTAACTTATAATTAATTTACTACGCAAAAGTTTCTCATTTTCACCAACCGGAAAAGTTATCTGAAATAATACCGCTGTGAACCATTTTGCTCTGATATACTGTAATGTAACCCACGTTTACCGTACTCACCTATTGCGAACAAAATACTTTTTCAGTTTAAAATGCAGAGTAGGTAGAATTTCTCAAAAATTCAAAAGTTATATTGTATCTTATATTACTAAGTACGACCTACATAAAATAGGATCACGCGTTTTTACGTGATACGTATTTACAGAGACCGACCTATGTAAAAAATTGTATTTTTTATTTTTTTTCATGGAAACCAATACGGTTTTATTATTAATTATTAACATAATTATAAGAGTTTCTATTTTAATTCTTATTTATATGAACGTATAAGATATTTATAGAGCAATATGTTAAAATCATATTATATACGAGTAGTTAATTGTCAATTATAATCACTATTTATTTACTGTGACAATATTACTTTAAATATTTTAATACAAATATATTTTATAGCTGAAGCAAGCGCTCATGGAGACTTCGGACCTAGCCCAACTAGCTCGGACTCACGAAGCCCGGGTTGATAAGTTGGACAGCGATGTAGGCCGCTTGAAGTACGAAGGTCAACAAATCAGGTCTACTATTGCTGAGATAAAGACACACTATTCCAAGTTATCCAAAGAGGTAAGAGAGTTTTTCTATATTTTTATGAAACTTTGTGACAAAATATACAGCAGCAATATCAAAAACTGTGTCCGGAGAAGGTGCGAGACATTTGTAAGTGTGATGGCCAATCTGCCAAGTACGATTTTTACAGCACTCTTGCAGTGCGATGTGTAGGTATAAAACTGTTACCTCCCTTTCCACATTGTCAAATAAATTAGTAGTAACTCGGGGATAATTAAAGATATAGTACGTCAAACCTCAAATATGTCCTGGCGGGCACGGGCCGGGGCTGGCGCAAGCGTTTGAATTCTTCGATTTTGATTAGATCTCAATGATGAAATGAAAACGAATTTGTAAAATGTGTTCACAATGTGACCTAAAAATATACTTTTGAGAAAAGTTTTATATAGTTTCATTATGGAAGCTTTGCAAATGTATAAATAGCGATATAGTTATTTTTATGATTTTATGTCGTGCTGATTACTACGATCCGCGTCTCTAATTTCACACATTTGTTCGCATAATCTTTCTTTCTTTCTTTCTTTCATAATAATTACATTTTACAGAAGTTCGAGAAAGTAAAAAAAAATACGGTGACATCGCCCTAATTATAACTATTTTAAATATTGCCAAAACTAAGGCAGCATATTGAATCGTTTCAACGTTTTTCAGTGTATATATATCACCTTCAAACATTCATTAATTCCTTCTGAGCTTGAATTATCATTGTGAGATCACCCATAGGCCAAACTATGCCTGACTGTATGTGGCCTCGAGTACCGGAAATGAATAGAAAATGGTGGCTCTGCACTCGCGATGTGCATACATGTATGAAATAACACAATTCAGAATTAAATAACTTTGTTTAAGAGTCGAAGTTGAGATTTTAGGCAACGAGTACTGGACAAACTAACTGCATTTTATTAACATCCCACGACATTCATATGCATCGCTTAAGTTTTCGCGGCGATATATTTTTTTTAAATTCATTGTAAAATATTGTAGGAATAAGCATAACGTTTGTGGCCGTGGTAGGAAAAGGGGAGATCTCCCGCCGGGCAAGGTGTTCTGCCCGGGGAGTGGCCAACACTCCGTGTGATAGTTCGGAGATGTTCTATATATACTGTTTATGATTCGGAATGTTGATACCGTGATTTAGGCTTCGGTGTATTTCGATTGTGGCGCGACGACAGCGCCGCCACACGTTTAAGTTTGGTTTAAGTAAAATAAGCAGTAGTGGAGCTGTAAGAATATCCACTACCCCATATCGTCCCGTGGGTGTTATAAGAGGCGACAGAGGGAGACAGGCAGGAGATGGGCAGCAGCATCTTCCTGATAACATTTCCAAATAATAAAGAAACTGTGGTTGCCAACGCGCTCGCCAAGCCGGTCAACATGGTAAAATCCCCTCTATGAGGCAATCTATGGGGGAGGCCTATGTTCAGCAGTGGGCTTTTATAGGCTGCGATGGACGTATAGAAAATAACAAATATCCGTCGTAACTAAGAACAGACTGATAAATTTCGTAACCTCTGATAGAAGACGTTTTGCCATTGGGTGCGTTTGGCAGAAAAAAGCACTAGCAAGCGCTTGTAAGCAAAATGGCGATCGTAAGCGGTAAGTGCTGTCAAATCGTAAGTAGCTATTTTCCTCTAGGACACGATGTTTGTTTTAACCGGGGAACCTAACCTAATTTAATAAGTATTCATATTAAAAACTTACCAATCATGAATTTTTAATAACATGGATATGTTTATTCATGTCATTATATTACTTAAAACTAATATTGCACAAAACAACTTTTAAACTCTACTTCAAAACAAACAAATTAAATAAGCAAAATGCAGTAGCAATCGTGTCCTGGCCGAAAACTATTTTAGCGCTTGTAAGCGCTTGCTAGCGCTTTTTTCTGCCAAACGCACCCATTGTGTCTTATGGATCTTAAAAAAACTATGTCCGGAGAAGATGCGATAGACATTTGTTAGTGTGATGGCCAATCTGCCAAGTACGACTTTTACAGCAAATATTTCTTTCAATTGTTGCTGGGTGTTTTATATTACATATTATGATTATTGAACTTAAAATTATAGGCTGTCACAACATGATTAAATAAAAAAAATTGTATAAAAAGTCCAAAAAATATTGAACAGAATTTAGCTTCTTTATTTTTTACATAATTATAGTGGATGATTTTTATCGTCTTTTTATAGGGTGTAACAGGGGAACGGAATAATAGTCTATATCATTGATAATTTTCAACTTTTGCTTTTATGCAATTGCATATTATGCAATTGAACTATCAAAAAATACCACTTATTTAAAATAAACTTTCGGAAATAAAAAAATAAAAATCAAAATTTTGAAATAAATGAATAAATCAATTAAAAACTATCGAATTTAAAATAATACGCACCCAAATAATAGTATTTATTGAAAGATCAATTTCATAATATGTTAATGTAAAAAATTGCAAAATATCGGTGCCATAGACTTCTATTCCGTGCACCTGTTACACCCTATTTTTTTCTTGACGGTAAAAAATCACACAGTATTTATAGACCATATATACGACATAATACCATTTTTACAGATTTTTTTAAATATAATTCTATTTGTTTCGTAAAATGTCAATTGATCCTTTATTGCTAATCAGTAATGAATTTTTAACAGATATCTCAACCAATCAAAGTTATACTAGCGCATATTTAAATTTTCCTAGATATCTTTAAATAGAATCTTACCTCTCACGGAATTTTTAGAGCTATGAAAATATTAAACATTAACCGTAAGCACTAAACAGTTCTTAAATTTTTTACACACAAAAAATATAGACTTACCTATTTTTTAATATATCATGCTTACTATTCGAGTAGAATATTTCTTATTCAATCTTAATATTTACCACGCCATACCATTGCAGCGTATTAAAAATTCACTCCTGAACAAAGGCCTTCCCCATTGGTTGCCTTAATATCTCTATATTTTGTCATAAGATTTTAATATATTATTATGATATTAGTATTATTGAGAGCCGTGGTAGCTCAGATGGTTAACGCTCGCTGTAAATATAACAGAACGCGAGTAACCCGTGTTCGTTCCCCGCCGGCACCAATGAAATTGTTAATTGCAATTTTAAGTGGTCATTTAGCACGTTCTCGGCGGCGAAGGAAAACATCGTGAGGAAACCTGCATGTCTGAGGAATAAGAAAAGTATTTCGAAGACATATGAAGTTCGCCTACACGCATTGGGGCAGCGCGGCGGACACTTCCATGCCCTAAAACCCTCTCAGAAATGAGGGTAGGCCTGTGCCCAGCAGTGGGACGTATATAGGCTATAACCTCACTTGTCATAAGTACTTGGCAAGCGGACTAGCAACCGCAGTTTTTTTATTTTTATTCACCTGGTATCAGGAAGATACTTCTGGCCATCTCCTGATTTAATTCTCCGTATCGTCTCTTACGACACCCACGGGATGGGATATTATTATACCGCCACTATATATCTAGACTTGAGATTATTAAACAAACTTATTATATCGCTTGTCAACCCGCCTACACAGGCCTCCTTCATAGATTGCATCATAGGGCAACGCCTATGTCAGCAATAGACTTTGACGGGCTGTAATGATGATGATTATTACTATTATTCCATCTTATTCATCAAAGGAGACAATGCGTCTGCATCAAATCTGCATTTTTAATCTTAATTGAATATAGATGTATGTGTCTACGGGGCACAACATCCACTTACCATTCATACTGTGTGATAATTTGTCACCCTTAGGCCGTTTTCACACTACGCCAAACCAACACGACATCAACACAACATTAAAAGTTGTGTTGATGTCGTGTTGTCCATCCCTTTTTCACTAGCACGACTCCAACACACCACGACTGTCACATTTTGTGTAAAGTTCATTTGTCGAGTACGCACGCAATTATGTGTCCTGCCTTCAATCAACGACAACTGCTAGCTATTTTACTATACTTAAGAAGAAGAAGGCGGAGAAAGAATTGTTGAATTCACCCTTTACTACGTGAGAGATATGTTTATAGAGCATTTTACGTGCTCTTTGACAAGCTACAGGAACACGAAAATAAATTTTTCAACTACTTTCGCATGTCCATAGCAACATTTGATTATATACTTCACCATATAAATGATGCCATATTACGTCCGTTTTTTTCATTATTAATTAGGTTAAATAAAAAAAACAATTTCTAGACACGCGCGAAAATGTTCGAGGATGGCGCGCACTCGCAAGAAATGTTGTGTTGGTGTCGTGTTGCCTGCAGTGAAAAAGTCCCTATAGAGTCTGCAAGGCGGCTGCTATGTTGTCACAGTGTTGTCACAACAAAAAAGTTGATCCGATCTAGCGGACAAGACAACATAGCCGAATTGTTGGTTCAAAGTTGTATTGGTGTTGTGTTGTCCCCGTGTGTGAGAAAACTGCGCATACATTAGTATGGCGGTTGGAGTTGTCACAACATTATGTTGTGTTGATGTTGTGTTGGTTTCGCGTAGTGAGAAAACGGCCTTATTGTATAAAAAAATGGTTCGGAAAATACCTCTGTCGCATGACACTCGGCGGTATTATGTTTAAACATAAAGGTTACAGTAATAATTTTATATAATTATTAATGATTTCTTATGGAAACAGCATTGTAGCGATTACCTCATTCCCAGAGGCAATTTTCATTAATATACTCGTTATATTTTAATAAACCTTTTTCAAAAGGTTTTGTTTTAAGCTTGTTGATTCATAAGAATTGAACATGTGTTGTAAGGTTTTGTTGTGGAAGCGTATACCTACCTTGTCCCTTTAATGTTATTATAATTTTGTTGTGGCTAGTAACGGACATTAAAATAATTATACAATTTACCTGCTCCAATATTTTGCAATAATAGATATAAAGGATTAATGCTTCGGTCTATTATTTTTTCTACCCTCAGAGTTATGGTGGAGTTAGATGCACTTACTTTAAGATCCCAATTTCAAAAAATCGCAGACTCTGCT